CTGTATATAAGATCCATGTTGGCCTCCATTTAGAAGCTGAGACATGCTCAAGCCCACTTGTCAATATAAGCGTCACAAATGTTTAGATTCCTTAAGAGTCTGGCCAATATGGCAGATATTTAATAAAGTTTGTCTTTGGCTGAAAGAAGGCTTGGGTCAAATTCATTTGGGCAGGACCCAAGTGTCATGATTTTTGGGTCCCAGCACCCCTAAACCTCTAAACTTCAACAGGACTAGGAAAAAAATAAAGAATAATAATGATAAAAAAAAATAGCACAATACAGTAAAGGAAAACAACTTTGAAAGACTTAAGACCTCTAATTAGTACACTGAGTGACCAGTCTCAACTTCAGAAGATTCCTGAATTGTGCTTTGCACCTGATGGACTAGTAATGCAGAATGAGACATATATTTTCAGTCATGACTGATGTGTGGATTTGTTTTGTTGGATTATTATTACATTGGCTTGCATTTTGGGGTCAGAGATGGGCAATGAGATAGTGAGTAGTAAGAGACATATAAAAGGAAGAAAAAAACACCAATTAAGCATTGAAAGATACACAGAAAAACTTTAGAAGGGTTGCTAGTAAGAAACCAAGTCTGTTAATACTGTGTTATATTTAATTATACCAAAAAAAATACAACAAGCAGATCAGAGAGAAATTACAGTAAATAATGTGGTGAAGGGCAGATATATATATATATATATATATATGTATATATATGTATATATATGTATATATATGTGTATGTATGTATGTATTTATACATACATACATATACATACATATATGTACAACTTATATCTTAGGGCTGTATGCTCTAGACTTAGAGCCTAGATCCAATCATGGAGCCAACCCCTGCACTTACAGCTTTTACTTATTTTTGCTCTGATTCATAGTTTCTCTGGGAAGTCTCAGACTATAGCTTGACTATAGAGGATACCTAAGTCTCCACAGATGTAGGTAAAAAGGTCCCTACTTTCCATGCTAGTGTTCAAGATGTCTCACAATGGGGAGCCAAGAAGGTGGAGTAAAAGCAGTGACTTGCTTGAGCTCTCCCCCAATCCCCTCCAAATACCTGTAAAAAATGGCTCTAAATAAATACTAAAGCAGCAGAACTCACAAAAAGACAGAGTGAAACAAATTTCCAGCCCAAGACAACCTAGATGGTTGATCAGAAAGGTATATTGTGCCAGGAAGGGAGAGGAATGCAGTTCAGCATGGGCACACAGGCAAACAAGGCCTCAGCAAACCTAGAGCAAACCTCAGAGGACTGAATCACAGACAGCTGTGGCAGTTTCCAGACTTCTCAACCCACAAATGCCAAAGATAAGTTAGAAGATCAGTAGGAAAAGTCTGTGACTGAGGTGAGAGAGAAGCTAGGTCCCAGCCCCTGTCTCCATGTGCAGCCCCCCCTCCCCCCAGGGTGGTAGCTGCTTCAGGAGCTTCTGGCCCACAGACTGAGAGGGAACCAAGTAGCTGATCAGAGGGGGATTGCAGGGATCTCTTTGCTGGTGCAGTTTCTCTTGCTTTGCCTGTGCTTGGATCTGGATCACAGTTCTGGGTGGTGGTCCTGGGGCTAGGAGGAATGCTGGTGTGGTGGAGCATGTAGTGGTGGTGTAGAGAAAATCCTCTTCACAGCTCCAAGGCAGAAAGGAGTGCTTGTGGTTACTCATACATCAGATTACAGGCCAGGAACACCCCGACCCTTATAACACCTTGGAAGAACTGAAAATTTGCAGGTCCCTAGAAGTACCTCTGAAAACAGCTGCACAAAACCCCCAAAGTATGGGACAACACATTTTCCACACTAGAAGCAGACCGCTACCTTAACAAAGAGTTTATAACTCAAATAATTGGCTGGGATCATGAGTAAGCAGCGCAAAAAGAGTCAGACCGTAGACTCTTATTTTGGTGACAAAGAAGATCAAAATATACAGCCAGAAGAAGACAACAAAATCAAAGCTCCTACATCTAGAGCCTCCAAGAAAAAATATGAATTAGCCCCAGGCCATGGAAGAGCTCAAAAAGGATTTTGAGAAGCAAGTAAGAGAAGTAGAGGAAAAACTGGGAAGAGAAACGAGAGTGATGCAAGAAAAGAGCATAGAGAGATGCAAACTAAGGCTCACCTTTCTGTTACTCATCAAGTTGATGAAGGAACTCTTCCTCTGACTCCCTTGCTAGTCCCCCATACTTGCAAACATTGCTCCAAATCATTTAAATCATAACTAAGCTGGGTAACTAACTTCATTAGGTGTGTACATTTAAATAAACATTTTTATTCTACTTATTCATGTTTTATTCTTATATTTTACTGCTCTCCTATTTGTCATGATCTACTTTATGGGACTCAGATGTATTCATAAAAATGACTTCAACAGAAACCACAAAACAGAATGAGTGCTCTGGCCTTATAAATTGGCAAAGTAGGTGATTATACACTACCACCCACCCCAGCCTCTACCATCAACAGTCTGACACCTGAAAGCATTTAAGCTTAATTCCTTAGTTTAGATTTTGAGTCCTATTAAAACTTAGTCCTTAAAGGGTAAACATTTTTATCGCTTTTGGGGTCATTATTGTTGGCCCAAATGAAGGCTTTTTTGAAAAATGGTTTGGGAGAAAGAATGTGAGAACAGCATGTGCCAGGCAGAGAAAGTGTGTACTAACAAGGGGAGGTGGAATAGAAAGGAGGCTTGAGAAGCTGTAGACAACCTTCTCATCCTTTTACATTCTTGATTCCAGGCCAGTTTTGCTCCTTTATGTGAACCTCACAAACTGCCCAACAAGACAACCAAAAACCCTTAGTCATCAATATAGAATGGGGAAAAGGCTAGTCTAAATTAATGAGTAACCCGATTATAGGATCGAATGAAAGAATGTGTTTACAGATTTCAAGTATTGCGTTAGCCAAATACTGGTCATAGAACTAGGGCGAGAGAGATATGGCCAGGCATTAGCCAGCTTAGGTACAAGGATGTAAGGTCTGGTAAAGATCAGTAACATAGCTGGTATCTTAAGGAATACTGAAAAGATTGAGCCTCTATTCCCTTTCCAACCCTAACTCGTAAATTTTTAGCAACATTTCAGAGATAACTATTTATCTGGCATTAGGGTGTACTGAACTGGTGAAGGGAGGAGAAAGGAATCTTGGGAAAAAGATGATAATGAAGAATTATAGCACTTGCTAAAGAGATAATTCAAGGTCAGGTTCCAGAGAGAGGGACTGAAATTCCTTCCTCCTCCCCACACTTTCTCCACATAACTCCCAACCTCATTCTGCAAATGGCCCCACAAGAGAAACTTTAGGATTTTTCTCAGGTAGTGTCTGTTAATGTATTATATTTATCAAAGAGAAGAAGGGATTTTTTTAGTCAGGGTAACCACTCAGCATACTGTGACTAAATTATACGCTTCTAAATTATAATGCTTCTATATACATAGACAGGTTTTTAAAAAAATAATATTTTCCACAATTATATTAAAACAATTTTTAACATTTAAAAAAAGGTTTTGAGTTCCAAATTCTATTCCTCCTTCCCTCCCTCTCCTCTCCCCTCCCTGAGATGGTGTGGTGAGCATCATGGCAGTGGGTGGAGGTAACAAAGTACCAACAGTAATTGGAACTAACTGCTAATAAAGTTTAGGAGTCTTGTTGGTTTATTTTAATGAACAGAGAATTTACTTAGGATCATCAGCAATCATTTATGTATAACAAATGAGTTAAAGTTCTTGACATTTCGTTCCTTGAATGAAAGTAAAAATTTTCTATGCCTGTTTTGTACACTGTTCTGTTTAGCAAATTTTTTCATTCTTAACTAGTAAATCAGTAAACTTTATTCAGTCTAGATATATTGCAAATTGAAAATTAGTTGAAAAGACAAATAGCTGAAGTTCCCTTCATTCATTTTTTCTTTTTCCTCCTCCTCCTCCTCCTTTTCCTCCTCCTCTTTTTCTTCTTCGACTGCTGGTCAAAACTCCTAGTCATCCATTTTTATCTGGCACCTTAGGACAATATCTATCTATCAGTCAGTCAACATGTGTTTATTAAGCACTTACTGTGTGCCAGGCACTGTGCTAAACTCTGAGGTTCCAAAGGAAAACAAAAACAGCCCCTGCATTCAAGTACCCTACCACTCTAGCCTATATTAAAACAGCTTCCTGCAACACTCTACCTCCTATCTCTGTGCCTTTGCACTGGCCATCTCCCATTGCTGTCCTTATCTCTTGTCCTTCCTTTCTTTAAGATATAGCTCAGGCATGATCTTCTACATGAAGCATTACCTGTTTCCCCCGTCCCTCAACTGCTAATGCCCTCTCTCCCAAACCAGTTCATATTGAAGTATTTTCCATATATTTGTGTTAGTTCTATATTTAGACTGAATTTTTAATATATACTTGTCCCTTCCATTAGAATGGATTCTTTTTGTGAATAGTTATTGTTATATTCTTTTCATTTGCATTCCCAGGGCCCAGCCCAGTGCTTGGCACAGAGTAGATGCTTAATAAGTACTTGTTGATTGATTAATTCATTGATTGGAATTCCAAGGAAATAAGATTAAAATAACTAAATATATACAGAATAGTTGGAAGGTGATAGATCTCAGAAAGGAAGACAGTAGTAGCAGACAGGACCAGGAAAGGTCTCTTGCAGAAGATGGGATTTGAGCCAAGTGTTGAAAAAGCCAGGGAAGCTATGAGGTAGAGGTTAAAAGGGAAAGAATTCCAGCTGCAACCTCATGTACCTGTAGGTACTCCCTTCTGTAGTTCAAGAATTTATTGGTGTGTTTCTCTTTAACAGTCACCCAGCATCTCTTAGCAAAGGCATTTATAGAGATAGTAATGCAGTAGAATCTGTAGCTAAAAATATTTTCCACATAAACCTGGGTCACACTCTGCCACAAATGCACACGAAGTTCCTGGGACGAATGGGAACAAACAGTGCAAAATAGCAGTGAGGCACATGCACAGGGAACATATGTGACCAAAGCAACTTACAACATCAGTACTGCAGGAACCCAATGTCTTTTCTTTCCTCCTGAGTCTTTAAGCTTCTCTAGAAGAACCAGCCATCTTCTTGGAGAAGCACTTTGGCTAGGGGGATTTCTTTCTCAGCTGAATTGACGGGTTTGCTCCTCTTCAAAGAGCAACTCTTGATTGCCAGTGCTAGTTCTTAAGCCCACAACTGCCTCTATTTTCTCCCAGAGGTCTTGCCCCTTAAAGCTGTTTCTGGTCTCAAGTGACAGAAAAGATATGCAAAAAGGATACAATGGCACTTAGCTTCTCTAGACAATGCCCTCCTCATTTTCATCTTGAAATGCGTCCAGTCAATAAGTCATCAGAGTAGGGAAACTCATGAGGTATCAGACATTCAATTTAATTGACTCTCTAACTGCTGAATGGGAAGTCTCCCTCTCAGCAAGTAAATGCTAATAGATAGCAAGACCAATGGAAGAGGAGAAAGAGAGAGAAACTCCCTCTTTCCTTCCCCTAAGAGCAACCAATGGAAGAGCAGAAAGAGAGAGAAACTCCCTCTTTCCTTCCCCTAAGAGCAATTCTCTTTCAAGGACAAGATTATTCATCAACTAATGGCTCTTTGTAGTATTGACTTGACTGATTTGACTGACTTGCCTGTCTCTTAAATTTAACTGTTCAGAGGCCCTAGGAGTATGACCAATTTTATTTCTCTGTCCAATGGTGAGGTTTCCTTTAATTCTATCAGAGAAAGGAGTCACTGATAAATTCACAAAATGGTTATTTGGTCTTAGCAAGGAATAGTTTACCTGTCAGATCTACAGAGAAGGGAAGAATTTATGACCAAACAAGAGATAGAGATCATTATGAAATATAAAATGGATGACTTTGATTCATTAAATTGAAAAGTTTTTGCACAAACAAAGCCAATGCAACCAAGATTAGAAGGAAAGCAGAAAGCTGGAAAATAATTTTTAGAGCTAGTGTCTCTGATAAAGGCCTGATTTCTAAAATATATAGAGAACTGAATCAAATTTATAACAATACAAGTCATTCCCCAATTGATAAATGGTCAAAGGATATGAACAGGCAGTTTTCAGAGGAAGAAATTAAAGCTATCTATAGTTATATGAAAAAAATGCTCTAATTGATTGATTAAAGAAATTGATTAGAGAAATTAAATATTAGAAAAATGCAAATCAAAACAACTCTGAGGTACCACATCACACCTATCAGACTGGCTAACATGACAAAACAGGAAAATGATAAATGGTGGAGAAGATGTGGGGAAATTGAAACATTAATGCATTGTTGATGGAGTTGTGAATTGACCCAACCATTTTGGAGAGCAATTTGGAACTATGCCCAAAGGGCTCTAAAACTGTGCATATCCTTTGACCCAGCAATACCACTTCTAGGGCTGTATCCCAAAGAGATCATAGAAATGGGTAAAGGACCCACATGTACAAAAATATTTATAGTAGCTCTTTATGTGGTAGCAAAGAATTGGAAATTGAGGGATTGCCTATCAACTGGGGAATGGCTGGACAAGTTGTGGTATATGAATGTAATGGAATACTATTGTGCTGTAAGAAATGATGAGCAAGCAGACTTCAGACAAACCTGGAAAGACTTGTATGGATTGATGCTGAGTGAAGTGAGCAGAGCCAGGAGAATGTTGTACACAGTACCAGTCATGTTGTGCAATGACTAACTTTGATAGATTTAACTCTTCTCAGCAATGCAAAGATCTAAGACATCTCCAAAAGTCTCATAATGGAAAATGCTATCCCCGTCCAGAAAAAAAAAACCTACAGTTTGAACACAGATGGAAGCATACTATTTGCTCTCCTTTTCTTTTGTTGTTTTGCTTTGTTTCTTCTTTTTTGTGGTTCCTCCCATTAGTTCTAATTATTCTTTACATCATGACTACTATGAAAATATGCTTAATATGAATGTATAAGTAGAGCTTATATCAGATTGCACACCATCTTGGGGAGGAGAGAGGGGAAAATTTAAAACTCAAAATCTTATGGAAGTAAATGTTGAAAACTAAAAGTAAATAAATTAATTATAAAAAATAAAACAAACAAAAAGAATTATATGATCTTAGCACATTGTTATCATGTTAATACCTCATCATCTGATTACTTGTGGCTACATTAACTGAGCTTATAATAGGATCATAGCTCTAAAGATTAAATACACCTTAGAAGTCTCCTATTCCAACTCCTTCATTTTACAGATTAAAAACCAAAAACAAACAAACAAACAAACATGACACTGGCACTCTGAAAGGCTTGATAAATTAAGATCTGTAATAGGTTATCATGAAGAACTTAGGTAGTAACATCTGGTAAGAAAACTTAGTATATGGTACCATTTAGCAATAAAAGTAAATCATATTTATATAGCAATTCAGAGTGAAAAAGAGCTTCTTCCCAGAGTCTTTTCCTTTGGCCTCAGAGCAAATAGGTACCAGAGAATGGTACTGAACTCATATTTCTCCTTACTTAAGTCTAGTACTCTTTCAATACAAGAAACTGCCTGTCTGTGACAAACTGATGACAGACTTTAGTACCTTACTATGAATAGTTTAAGATTCTTATATACTGTCCCTGGTCCTCTTAGGCCCTGGGTGAGGCCAGGATTTGAACCTCTTATGGAAAGCAGCTGCACATACTCCATGACGCTGAATGGAAGTCTTCCCTATTTAGAGGCGAGGGGAAATTCTGTAGCTAAGAAGCTCCTATATACATAGGAGCCAGAAGCATCATATGCCAAAGACAAAATTATTACATATATGGGATGTAGTGATAAAGAACCAGAAGAAGAAAATTATGTCTGCACTAGAAACTGAATCTTTTCACAATCAACAAACTCTGCGGAAGCTATTGGGCTCTAAGCAATGGCTTAGAGTTGTTGTTGTTTTAATTTAATTTTTTGTTAAGAAAAATCTACTTTCTTTCCTTCTACCTCCTTTGAAAAAGAAAGAAAAACAAAACTCTTATAACAAATATATATTTTGTTGTTGTCCAGTCATTCAGTAGAGTCCAACTCTTGACCCCCTGGATTATAGCATGCTAAGCCCTTCTAACCTCCACTATCTCCCTAAGCCTATCCAAGTTCATGTTTGTTGTTTTCATGACACTATCTATCCACCTCATCCTCTGCCATCCACTTTTCCTTTTGCCTTCAATCTTTCCCAGCATTAGGGACTTTTACAGTGAGTCCTGTCTTCTTAATATGTGGCCAAAGTATTTAAGCTTCAGCTTTACTATTTGACCATCCAGCAAATAGCCTGAATTAATTTCTTTATGTATTAACTGATTTGATCTCCTTGCTGTCCAAAGGACTCTCAAAAGTCTTCTCTAGCATCACAATTCAAAAGCATCAATTCTGCAGAGCTCAGTTTTCCTTATAGTTCAACTCTCACAGCCATACGTTGCTACCGGAAAAGGCAAAGCTTTGACTCTGTGGAACTTTGTCAGTAAAGTGATGTCTGCTTTTTAGTATGCTATCCTAATTTGCCAGAGCTTTCCTTCCAAGAAGCGAGCACCTTTAAATTTAGTGGCTGCAATGAACTTTGATCCCAAGAACATAAAATCTGACACTGCTTCCATTTCTTCTCCTTCTATTTGTCAGGAATTGAAGGGACCAGTTGCTAAGAACTTAGGGTTTTGTGTTTTTTTTGTTTTGATGTTAAACTTCAACCTAGCTTTTACACTCTTTTTTTTTTCACCTTCATCAAGAGATTTCAAGCAAAATAATCTTCCCACATTGGCCAACTCCAAAAATTATATCTCAGATTGTACCTTGAGTCTATCACCTCTCTATTTCACCATGAATCCTCAGGAAGCTTGGTTGGTCATTTCATTTATTAGAGTTCTTAAGTCTTTCAAAGTCTTATTTGTTTGTTTTACAATGTTATTGTTATTGTAGAAATTGTTTTCCTGATTCTGCTGTCTTCACTCTGCATCTATTCACAAAACACTTTCTAAGTTTCTCAGAAACTTCCCCCTTCATTTCTTTTTCTTTCTTTCTTTTTCTTTTTTTCAGGCAATTGGGGTTAAGTGATTTGCCCAGGGTCACACAGCTAGTGTCAAGTGTTTGGTCTGAGGCCAGATTTGAACTCAGGTCCTCCTGACTTTAGGGCTGGTGCTCTATCCAGTGCGCCACCTAGCTGTACCACCTCCTTCATTTCTTACAGAGCAATAGTATTCTGTAACATGTTTATACCATAATTTGTTCATCTTTTCCCCAACTGATGGACACTCCCTTAGTTTTTAGCTCTTTGTCACAACAAAATAAGCTGCTATGAATGATATTGCATGCATATGGGTCCTTTTACTCCTTCTTTCATCTCTTTGGGAGTATAGCTTTAGCAGTCTTTCCACTGATTCAAAGGGAACACACAGTTTAACAACTCTTTAAGCACAGTTCTAAATCACTTTCCAGAATGGCAGATCAGTTCACAATTCCACAACAGTGATTTTAATGTACCTGTTTTCCCACAGGTAGCCATCCCATGTCATTTTTTAAAAAATTAAATTGATAATCTGATGGGTGTAAGGTTGAATCCCAGAGATGCTAGAGATATTTGCATTTCAATAATTATTAGGGATTTGGAGCATTTTTCATATGACTATTGAAGTTTGAATTTTATTCCTTAGAAAACTGCCTATTTGAGCCTTTTGATTATTTATAAATTGGGAAATGGCTTTTGTTTCTATATACTTGAATCTTAGAATTTTATAAATGAGATCTTTAAGAGAGAAACTTACAGCAGAAATTTTCCCTAGGTACTTGCTTCTCTTCTAATGTGCCAAAACCTTTTCATTTCATGTAATTGAAATTGTTCATTTTACTTTCTTGATCCCTTGTTTGGTCATGAACTCTTTGACACATCTGAAAAGTATTTTCTTTCTTGTTCCTCTAATTTGTTTATGATGTCACTCTTTATGTCTAAACTTTTACCCATTTTGAGCTAATCTTCATATATGGTTCAAAAAGTTGGTCTTACCTATTTTCTGCAGGACTAATTTGCAGTTTTCCTAGAAGCTTTTGTTGAACAGTGAGTTCTTACTCCTTTTTTTTTTTCTTTTTGGTGAGGCAATCAGGTTAAGTGATGTGCCCAGGGTCACACAGCTAGTAAGTGTTAAGTGTTTGAGACCAGATTTGAACTCAGGTCCTCCTGACTCCAAGGCCAGAGCTCTATCCACTGTGCCACTTAGCTGCACCTTACTTCCCTTTAAAAAAAATGGAATTAATTAATGATTTGTCTATTTCATGTTGTTTTTTTCCCCCTGCAAAACAGATCCTGGTTTTATTAATTCAGTTTCTATTAATTTGTTCTTTGATTTTTAGGATTTCTACTTTGGTATTTAAAAAAAATTATTGGTTTTCAAAGT